GGAACTTAAATGCAAAATCTAAAGTTTGAACTTATTCATTAGATTTTTTGAAGAAATTTAAATTATTTGAGGTTAAAGGATTACTATATTCTTATCTTTTATCTGAAGATAAAAGATTTGATAGTAAGAACGATAATATACAGTTCAATTTTATCTTATTCATTCTAACATACTTTTAGTAATAGTTTAATTCAGATAAAAATTTATTCCAAATTTAGTATTTTAATTTCGAATTTGTTGTTCATCAAGAAATAATTTTTCTTCTCTTTTTCTGTATCATAATTTATATCAGTGCTATTGCATTACTATTATTATATTATTATTTTGCAGTCCATTTACAGTCCAGTTTTGATTGCTTGCTATAATTTATTCTTTACATCATTACCTGTACTTGCAATGGGTATATTTGATCAAGATTTGGATGATGTATGTAGCATGAAATATGCTAAACTCTACATACCTGGTCAATATAATTTATTTTTTAATATGCGTATTTTTATATATTCTGTCCTTCATGGTATGATCAGGTATTTTATTTTTTTTTTTCAAAAATTCCTGTGGCATGAATTTGTTTTAATTTTTTCACGATAATTTAGAGTAATGATTGTGAATATTAAAGTAAAATTTCCAAATGAACAAAAATGAATAAAAATTAAAAGTGTATGGGAAAAAAAAACGGAGGAATAAAGATCAAAAATTTCCCATTAACATTCAAAATCTTTTATATTTATCACACATATAGTTTATGTAATATTGGATGTTATTTCAGTCATTTTTTGGTTCTATATTCAAAGAAGATTTCTTATAATTTTTAATTTTCAACTTTTATATTTCATTCATTTATAAAAAATTTTCAAGTTTATTTTTGCAATTATTTAATAAGTAGAAATTAATGATCAGTGTATTTTGAAGTTATTATACTTGGAAATATATTTATTCTTAAAAAAAAAAAAGGGAAAAAATATTTTTAAAAAAATTTTTCAAGTTTTATACTTTTAATTTAAAAATAATTTTAAGTTCTTTGGTGATATTTTTTGTACCGTACGGAATATTGTACAACGGTGTGGATTCAGCAGGCCGAGATTTTAATGATTATTCATTATTAGCATTTACATGCTTCACATCATTGATAATTGTTGTTACGGGCCAAATAGCATTTGATACAAATTATTGGACAATTTTTAATCATATTGTTATTTGGGGTTCAGTGATATTCTATTTTTGTCTTAGTTATATTTTATATGAAGGTTTGTTATCTTTTGGTATATTTTAAATAATTCAAAAAAAAAAGAAGAAAATTTCTTTAGCGTAATTTTTTTTTTTTTTTTTTAGACATTAGAAGTAAGACTTCTAAAAATAGTGCTTCTGCTTATTCGAGTTTTATTTACTTATATCTTCAATTGAATTCCTATTTTTTTATTTTAATTCATTCAAATTTAAAACTAGCAAATTGCTAAATTATTTTTATCAGTAAGCTAATCATTTCAGTATTTTGTAGTGGTATTTTTTTTTTTTTAGCTTTACCTATAAAATTGGTTTCAAAATTTGAATCAGCTCAATCATATGGTGTCATGCGACGAGCCTTTACATCACTACAGTTTTGGCTTTCTCTTCTAATGGTATCTGTTATTTTACTCTTACCGGTACTTGTTAATCGATTTTTCTGGTTGGATACACATCCCACCTATGCTGATCGTCTTCGGATGCAACAAAAACTTCTAACTTCTGAGGAAGACGAAAAGCCACCATCAATAACGACGTATGATGCTATCTCTTTTTCTCTTTTTGATTTATAAAAAATATAAAATATTAAAAAAAAAGTTTTTCTAAATTTTTACCAGAATTCAGTGATTTATTCGTTTCTTAATTTCACTGCTAATAAATTTCATATGACCTTATTTGTCTATTATTTTTTTTTGCTCTTGTTTTTTTTTTTTTTTTTTTTTTTGAAGGACAACATCACATTCGACAACTGGTCGAGGTCGTCGAACTTCGTTACGTTCAGGATATGCATTTTCTCATCAGCAAGGTTTCGGTGATTTAATTATTAAAGGAGAATTGTTCAAACAAGTGGAACAACTTATAAGTACCGGAAGGTTTGTTATGATTTAATTTATTTTTTAAACAAATATAAATTTACACTAATGAAATTATACAAGTTCAATTTATTTTTTTCTTTCCTTTAAATCTAAAATTCCAGTTCACCGCAAAAGATTGTTTCACCTTTTCGACAATTAGCAGAGAAGGGAACAACTACTGTGCTCACACCAAAAACACTTTTGTCACAAAGAAATAACAAAGTTCGTTATGTTCATTTAAAATTTTTTGTTAAATTTCATTGCTTTTGTTTATTCTAAAATGTTGTCCAACAGTTCAGAACAATTAAGCAGGATTTTAACTGAACTGGAGAAAATTTTTCAAAATTCTAATCTAAATTAGAATTAATTAATGAAGAGAATGAAAGAACTAAATTCGAAAAAAAAAAATCAAGCTTAAAAAAATTTGAACTTAAAAAAAAAAAAAAAATTATGTTAATTGGATATTTTAGATAGCACCTCTAGAACAAGCTAAAAATGAGTCCAAATATATAAATCATATTGAATCTGGGGCAGAACAGTTGACCAAAATTTCTAAAGAGCAAAATGTATGCAGTACTAACAACAGCAATGATGGAGACATTGATATGACGAAGTCATCACAATTTTTACACAAAATTATCGTTAACGATGATGAAGTTCCATTTAAGCATAGTGTAAGTTATGTTTATCCAATTATTTATATAATTTAGGTTACGTAAAATTTAAATGATATGAATTGCTTTATATTTTATGTTATGTTTTATATTTTGTTTTATATTTTATGTGTTTTATATTTTATTTTATAGTTTTATATTTTATGAGTTATGTTTCATATTTTATGGATTCATTTATAAATATTACCTTAGGTAATGCTAATATTTCTACAACTTTAATGCTACTAATTCTAAGTGTAGAAATTTTTGAAAATTTTTAAGTAAATTATGGAATTGACAAAAACAAAAAAAAAAAAAAAAAAAAAAAAAGGAAACAAGACTAACTGCTAATATGCTATTTTAACAGCAAAAACAGCCATCCCAAGTTAAAATTTTTCAGGATGATAAAACTTACAATAAAAAAATTTCACGAAAACAACAAAAACGATCAGCTAGTCTTATTTTGGGATCAATAAATCGAACTACATTAACTTCTCATCCATCCTACACTAATGTCAAACGTGACACGTTTCCGCAATCTTTCCAATCTACAACATATCCTAATTCGCTCAATTCTGAATCAACTTTAAATTCGTCAAATGCTTGTGTTAATATTATAGGAACTAAATCAACCACATACAAAACCTTAGACGAAACAAAACTGTAAATTTTTCAAAGTCAATAAATTTTTTAAAAAAATTGATTAGTCTATGTGCATCATTGGGTATTTTTATCATCTAGTCATTTTTTATCTCATGCTGTAATGTCCTGTAGATATTCCATTCTCTTCTTGCTCTATGTTATTTCTCATTCTGAGATCTGCGTGTTTTTGACATCTCAATCGAAATCTACCAATTTAACTCTTTCATTTTATGTTCCATCACACGTTCACCTTGAAAAGAGTCATCTGTTCCGGGAAATCAAATTTATAGTTTCCAAGATGATGATGCACCTTGGAAAAGCTTAACTACTACTTTTTGTTGCTACCAATCTCAAGAACTGGTTTTTTTGATTTATTATTCATTAGGAAAGAATATTAAGTGATGTCATTCCTTCAATTTTGTTTCTTCTTGTAAGATTCATTGGAACTGTAACTTCTGCTCGTAAAAATCTGGTCTACAATAAATGTATAAAATTAAGACTTATATGCTATTAGAAATTAACATTTCCACCAAATAGTATGACCAAGAATTCAACAGAATGCCGTGCACATTTCAAGGGGTATACTTAGGTAATCATGTACGGATGGCTAAATGTCATCACTTTGTCTAGTATGCTTCGAGAAGTAAAACAAAACATTTTACTATCTAAAAATACATGAGATACAAAAATTGACACAATTGGTTCACAAGTGCTAACTAGTACAATAAGTTATACGCGTAATTCCGTATGTGCTAAGATCACCGGGATTAATATCATCGTGAAAGAAAGTTTTATAATCATACATGCATTATCTATGATAAGGTAAACAATATAACTAGTAAGAATTTAAATTCATTAATCTTGGAATAACATTTGAAATAATGTACTGCATGATCTGGAAAATCTCGAAATACCTATCGATGAAACAGCACAAATCGGCAGTGTCTACTGACCTCGAAGAGAACACAAATCATTCCAAGGAAGTACTATATCAGTCTGTTTGAAACTGTTGATCCAAATATCCGTTTAACTGATATCGAATTTTAGCATCAATTATGACAATCAGTTCATGGATGCGCAAATTCACGTGTGCCTGGAGATTAGCCGACCAAAAACAAAACTCACCCTTACTTCGCAAATTCTCTGCTATTACAATTTTTTTTTTCCTAATTAATAATTTCTTATTTCAACGTCTAATCATCTAAAACTGCCTGGAAATCACTGGACTCGAATATCTAAAATTTTTAAAATGTTGAAAATAACCAAGAAAATACTAATGAATTAATAAGTTGTACAGAAAGAAGATATTCATACAATCAAATAAATTGTACTACAACTACATGAGCGAAAACATATGAATACGAATAAGTGACATAGTTTGAAGTTGGAAATTTCTGAATCAGAAAAACATAAATCGGAGAAATGTTAGAAACATTCATCAGTAGGAAGTATTTGATCTTATCCATGGAAGCCGAAAAGCAAAAAAGTGCTGAAAGTGTACTGAAATTACACGATTTGAAGTACTAAATTTACACTTTCATTTTTTATAACATTAGATGGCTGCACAGTCAAACTTCCGATTCTGACCAAAAATTTTGTGTTTATTAATAACTTAAGCAAGGAAAAATCATCTGCAGCCTGATTCCTTCCGCGGTGGTACGGGTGGCGGAGCGGTTATGATAACTTCAACAGGCTCTGGAAGTGATACTGATGGTGCTGATTGCTGTGCTGATTGAACATTTACATTTGCAATATGGTCATTTGTTGAAGGATACATTTGCATATCATTTAATAAAGGTGATGATGCCGACCTGGGAGCCACATTCGGCAAATTAAGTTGACAGAGATCTATTTCACTGCGATCCACTGGAGAATTACATCTTAGTTTAGACATTCGATCACTCGATCCACCTTTCATTGACAAATCGTCCTCATCTGAACAATTAAACAATTTGAATGAGATTCCGTTAAAAATAGAGAACTCAGCTGACTTTATTCCAATATTTTATCTAACACAATTTTTAGTCGATTAACAAGTTAGGAACCAATTAACATTTGAAATTTAAAAATTACCATTAATCTCGAAATTATCCGCATTTCTTAGTTCAATACATTCCATGTTCATATCTTCGTTTACATTTCGCAACACATTATTCATTTCGGCATATTCCAGTTCAGCCCAATTCGGAGTTAACAACTGAACACTTAAGACAGAATTTCCTATCTTTACTCCATCCAAACTTAAGGCTGCCAAGGCTATATCAGAACTATTGAAAATTAACCACAGTATACCAGTCTCGATTCTAAAAGTAATTTGAATTACAAATTCTAAAAACTTTTCAGTTTCATTATAAGAAACAAACTTATGAATTTATTTTATGACTGCAAGGTATTATTTAAATCGGAGTTAAGAAAAGTAGTAAAACGAGCTTGCTAATGGAAGGCGATATTCCGAGTTGATCAAGTTTTCCGATAACAGGAAGACGCAGTTCCACAGGGAAACTATCATGATTGCACATTGATACAAGCACGGTTCCATCCAGAGGACCCATTGAACTACAAAAATTATTTACACAGAATCCCAAACAGAAAAGTTACTCAACAAATGTCAAAAGATAAACATTCTTTACAATTTCGTAGCTATAAATTTGTCTTTAGATGTTAAAAGATAAAGAAGTAACATAAAATAAATTCATTTAAAATCATTTAAGGAAGACATGAATATATTTAAAATCACTTAAGAACAGCACATCAATTTTGAAATCGCGAAAGCACACCTGATCACATCTCTGAAAACCAATTCAAACCGTGAAAGGTTGATTTTAAAGGTGTCGACACGAAATAAAGCACAAACCGGTCTATGATCCGAAGTCTTCAATTCTATCCGATCATAACTAAAATAAGTTTTACTATTTTGACAAAATCAACACACGCTCTGGTGAGAAAAAAATCATAACAGAATATTTCAGCAAATTAAAAAAACTCAACAAATGTAATACTTTAATAAATGCACAATCTTTTCTCCGTTTGTTTCGCTCCAAAGAATTCGATCTGTCCAGGCAGGAACACGACATTTTTCTGATGTGTCATAATCGTCAGTAAAAGTGTCGTATTTATAGGTTGGGGCAAAAGTTAACGGTCCCTCCTTGAAATCTTTGAAAATCTGTAAAAGCAATCCCAATCACAAATTATTAATTTATAAATATATTTATAAATAATGTGAAAATTTTAGAAATATTCAAAATCTGACTACAAACAAGCAATACTAAATACATACCTCGCCCAATGCTTTTTGCTGAGAAAGCTGATCATAACGAGACAGTTCCGTTATATTTCCAGATTTTATTGCTGCTTCAGCTTCATTACGTGACAACACTATTCGATAATTGAAATCGCCTAGCCAGAATACAACAATATGTGACAAAATGCTACGACCCTAAAATTCAAACATAAAATAAGCATGCTCAGACATTGACTGTTAATATGAGATATCTCCGACTACCTTTTCTAACTTGAATCCATTATAAATCAAGATAAGGTGCTAGTAGTTTGTTCGGTTATAATTTCCAGGATAGCAAAAAGCTTATTTGTCAACGATTGAGCGATTTTTATTTAAGCTAAGCCATCATTAAATCTGACAACACGTTAATATCTGCAACATATACAATAAATGCCTCGCCATATTTCTGCACCACTTAACTTTTGTCATTCTTCCATCCTGATATCCAAAATCACAAAAATACACTTTTACCAATGAAAAGCCAAAAAATTAACTACCTGAGAAAATTTGATTTTTCTAAGTGTGTTCATATAGTCCTCATTACGATCACGAATTTCATTTTGGCCAGCAGCGAAATGTGAACAGACAAAACAAAATGTCGTGGAATATATGGTTAAACTCATTGCCACCGAACCTTTATTCCCTGTTGCACCGCCCATCCCTATGAAAAAAATAAAATTTGTAAAATTCATCGTTCAATTTGACAATTAAATGTAGAAACATACATGTCACGTAAGTTTCTTTCTGGTCTACAAAACTGGCATTTCATATTAATTCCAAGTGATAGTTTAGCTTACATTAGTTTCTAAATCATTTGCAAGGAATGAACGGAATATTGCATAACTTACAGATGGCGGCTCTGAATGACCGTACTATTTCCGATAACTATGTCTACTTGTAATCATTCAAAGAGAGAAGCGAAAAAACAAGCAAACCTGTTTTAACACTATTTATAGACATGTCACGCACCGCAGTAGCAAGTGAAGGTTTGATAAATACAAAAATGCATACACCAACAAGTTGTTCACATCCTAACAATATATATTTGTTCCGTTTTGATAATGCTTCACGCAAACCAAGCGCCCATGCACGCTGATTTGTTGTACTAAAAAATAACTCGTACAATAAGAATCAACAACAGATTTTAAATGAATTATAAGTTAATGAAATGATGATTACATCAACACCATAATAATAGTTAATAACTAAATTACTAGATAGAACCAGAAATTAATCATCATAGCAAATATCATCTTTCTACATGGGTAACCTCTTGTGATAAGAAAAAAAAAGGAACAACTTGCCTAGCACTGACTATATTTGAAGCATTCAAATCTATGATTTCTTCCAAGCCAATAACATATATATCTGGTGTAGTAGAATTATCCCCGCTTAATCCTAAAGGTTAAATTACAAGTGATAGGTAAACTGGACAAAAAAAAAAAACAACTCAATACTGTAAAATTTAATAGTGAGGGTGAATAAATAAGTCCTTGTATTATCCCACCCATCTATCCATCCAGAATATCGATATATTCTCACAACTATATTCTTTCTAGAATAAAATTCAATGGCAGTGAGAATCTTTTATTCTTCAAAAATATTCATAAATACATGTACCAGGAAAATGTTGTGGAAATAACCAATCTGCCAAATTTGTTTGATTACGAAAAGCAATATCAGAGAAATTTTTGCCACCATTTACGTTCCAAGTCCCTACCCAAATGGTCAATGGAACGTTTTCAACCATTTCCATCTTTCGCTCCACTAAATCTTTCACTACTGATGGACATTCTAAAATATATTAATTGCATATAAACAAACATTCTCAAATTACATGCTTATTATACATACAAAATAGTAAACAAAAACATGTTTTTTTTCTTTTCACTTCTTTTCAAAACTTACCTAAAAGAATATCACGCGGCACAGTACGGATCAGTTCGCTATAAGAATTATCACAAATAAATGTTCCATGAAGAAGAAATTCGAACGCTTCTTGCTTCGATGCATCCAAAAAATTGTTTTGAATTGCTCTTACCAATGTTCTTTTTGCATCTTTCATCTATATGTGGAATTTTTTGCATTTAATTTTTGCACCATTCACAAATTACCACAATTAAACAAATCATGTAACTTTTTTTTTTAAAAGAATAACGTCAATACTGAAAATCACTTACTTTACTTTTCCCTTCCAATGCACCGGTTCCAGCATAAATCACACTACATGAATCACCATTGCGCTGCCATATATCTTTTAAATGTTCTTCAAAGCGCGAAAAATATTTTTTGTCAACTTCAAGACTTTCCAACTGCAGAACTAAGACCTGAAATTTTTATTCCTGTTACAATCTCAATAGCAGTAAAGCTATGAAAAGTGAAAGAAGATTTCAAATTACCTGGAATCCTATAAGAGTCTGGACCGCATTAGTTCTATCCAAACAATCGAGGCAATTTACTCTAATGACACCATTTTGGTTACTAAAAGTGAATTTATGGGATTAATTACAACAAAGGAATGAATAACTGTCTCATTTAACTTCATTTTCCAAAAAAATAATAGGAAAGCAGTAGGCTTGCAGTTTGTTATTTTGACCAACAGATTAAAATACATAGCATCCGTATCACAACTGATAGGAAGAATCATAGTTGCTCTACATGACAACATCTTTAGTTAATGAACCAATAGTCAAGAACGAAAATGAATTTTAGTTGTCTCCGACAAAATTTACGTTCGTAGTAAAACATTAATGAAACAGAAAACCAAAAAAAAAAAAGAACATAAAGAAGTTAACGAACATTAGTTAGTTTTACTAGACAAATAACAGAAATTAAAACAAACCATAAAACATTTCCGTCTCGCTGTCTGTAAAACATGCACTCTAGAATTTTTGGTTTCAGTTTATCCATTAATTTCATACAGTTCCTTTTTTCTTCATGATAATCAAAAGTAATGTAACCAGCAACACAATGTGAATTCTTATAATGCGCCTGAAAATATAATAGTAGAAACAAAATATAAAAAGCAGTTTACAACACCATTTATTTTGGATTTCTTAATTTAGTAGTTAGTTAGATAAAGCATAGTGCTTTTATTTTCTATGAATTTTTATAATTTTTTACAGCAATATATTTTTTGTAGTGCAGTGTAAGCTACGGAAAAAATAAAAATTACTAGTAACTATATATCACAATAAAACAAACTTCATATGCCTTTGACAATAACATTTCGCCTTCTTTTGAACCGAGAAGATTTACAGCAGTTACTTCACCATACTCTTCCTTCAGTGCACGAAAATGTCTGAAAAATGAATAATGAAAGTCTCGAAATTCTGGTATCTGAATCCAATAATTATCTGTTATATTTTCCTACATAACGAACCTGTTAAATGCGGGAGAAGAAGCTTCAAAAGCTCTTAGTTTTACTTTATGTGAACCAACATTAATACCCGGTTGTTCCCAAAACAGAGGAACAGATCCTCTTATTTGAACAAATGAGATCTCCTCGGTACCCAAAGTAATAATCTGTAAGAAAAAAGAAACCATAAAACTCTATACCAAAAACAAAAATTCCAGTTAGTATGAAATAGCTATCCAACCAGAACACTTATAAATTTCAGAAATACCTGCTCAGTTTCAACAAAATTAGCCACGTGACCATCATCGTCTACACCACGCACGTTGAAACGTGTTCCAACTCGTTCACAACTTAAACGAGAAATTAATGCGACAGTAGCTCTTTGCTGACCCACATATACTTGACATATGAGGACTGCTCCACAAATTATCCGAAATAACCATTCATTTGTATCAATCTTGTATCGTTTCAACGGGTAATGTAGATGTTTATTCCTGAATAGCTAATTCTCGTGATTACAGAAATGATTATTATTTAAGTAACAAGTTATAATCTAAGACTAACCAAAAGAAACGGTTATCACCGTCCGAAGAGTTTGAGCACTTATGAGATCTGACGGTTAAATCAATACACCGACTGGCGTCGTCCTGAGAAGCGTAATAAAAACTGCCCGATGAAAACAGACGCAAGACCTGTAATGAATTAAAGTCCAGATATAAAGAGAATACAAACTTTATACCGTAACTTTAGGACGGCCGAGAGCGGAGTAAAAAAGAAAATAACCTAATACTACCCGTCATTCTGAAAATTAAAACAATTTTTCGGATAGCAGTCATAGCTGCTTCAAAATTCAGATGATGATCTTTAAATCTTAATCTACCATAGCTGACTCTAAAAAACTGAAATTTCAACTGGCTGCAATTAAAACTAATTTTATATCTTACATCATTTATACGTGGATCCGTTGGATATAATGTAGTAGGTCGTTTTAGTGATATCGCATTTACACCCCAAATTCGATAAATTTTACAGTTGCGCAATTCACCAACACTTTCATCTTCAGTAACTGCTAACAGGTGAGCATCATCTGAAGCTTTATCTTTGCTACAGAAGCTCATACTCATATGACACTACACTACTTAGATTTCAGTTGAAATGTTGAGTAAATTTCCGGAAACAGCCAAATCCAACACATTTTAAGATATGAAGTAAGAAAGAACAGAAAAGGAACCTTGACCTGTTCGTAGCACACCCAGCAAACCTCTGGCATCCATAAGTTTCGTATAGTTCTTCCTTAATTCTGACACTGACTCAACATTTGCTAGAAACATCAGATTAGAATATGAATTTCGAAAAAGCTGAGAGCTTTTAAAGAATTACTGCTTTAAAAGCCTCTTACTCTTTTTGCATCCAAATCCAAGGATTTAGGAAAAAAAAAAAGAAAAATTGGGAAATAACAAATACCAAGAACCAGGAGAGTTCAATTTCAATTGTTTTCTATCAGGCTATTGTACTATTGCTTCTGTTAATAAAGGAATTATTATATTCCTCTGTTACCCCAAAATAATAAATTAAATTATCAAATCTTTCACGACAAAGGAAGAGAGGATAACTCAACTTTTGGAAGTTTCAATAATTTACTGAGTTCACATATTTTTACAATTATCGACAAACCTACAGTTTGCTGAAATCAACTTTAATATAAAAATTTTCAAAATATGGAAGGCCATACAGATTGTCGCAACCGCCGAAGATTGAAACAATAACATTTTTCTCGTCTTTTGAGATTCCACGGTGACGCTGTACGGTTCCGAAGCGACATCTCGATGAGCGATTCGTATTGCAAAACGATGTGACATCTTTAAATTATTTGAAGCAAAGAAGAAAAATAGATAACGAATTTCTATCCAATAAATAAATAAGAGTTGTGGTAGGTAACAGCCAAATCGGATGCTTCAGGCATATATGCAACATAACTATTCCGAAACTGATACAGGAAAATCCTCACTTTGCTCTGACGAAGAGCAATTATTAAACTGTTATTTCTGAAAACATCCTTTACTTATTAGATTATACTAATTAGTTCACGATTCACAATTTCAAATTTCAATTCAATTTATTTATTCACCAGAAAAAAAAAACTTATGCCTTTTTCGTTTTTTTTCAATGCATATTTCAAATAAAAAAAATCCCAGTTTAAAGCATTTATACTAGAATATAAATAACAATTACAGCATTAAAATTAATGAAAACATAGTCATATTTTCATTAATTTCTTTAATAATTTTAAGATGATTAGCATTATTTCGTTAGCAATTGGAAAGATATCATATGAATACTATTATTTTATAATAATAATAATACATGTATATTAATAGAAAAAAGTACTACCATTTTTAGACGAATTGAGAAGTGATAAGATTAAGTGATATGATAAGGATTACAATGATGAAACTAACAATCACACATACACATAATTACAACGAATGATATTGATAATAAACAACGCAAAAGTACCTTGGTGTAGGTTTGGAGGCATATTGCGAATCGTTATTTTTTTTTTTTCTAATTTTTCATTTTATAATACTTTAATTGACTTTAAGTAATGTTGGAAATTTAGAATGCTAATGAAAATAAGGAGAGAAAAATAATAATTTTACAACTAATTTTTTTTTTTTTTACACCATGCAAAATGATTGTAATGATAATTTGGAATTTTATTTTATTTTTTTATAATTTTTAGTTTTAATTTTATAATTTTTTTTCATATACATTAAACACATAAGGCATGTAACATATATTTTCAAAAATTTTTCAATGTTTTGTAAGAAGAAACGAAAGCAACCATTTATTTTCAATGATTTCAAAAAATTTTCATCAACAATATATCTTTTTTTTTTTAATGTGTATGTCTGTGTCTGTCTCTGTGTATGTGTATGTGTGTGTATTTGTAATAACAAACAACAGGCGTAATTTTACTTTGTAATTTCAAATCTCATTTATTATTTTATTTAAAATACTTATTCGTTTTTCACGAATACGTATTTTAAAGAAGAGCAAAAAAAAAAAGCTACTTTAGGAGGTAATGAAACTTCGAAAAAAAGCTAATTTAAGAGGTAATAAAACTTCAAAAAAAAAAAAGCAGCAAAATAATTAAATAATTATTTTTAGTAAAGTAACGAATGACATAATATTGGTACTAAAATTATATTAATTTATCTGAATTCAATCAAATGAGACTAACAATATTTTAGTAATCAAAGGAAGAGGAAAATGAAGCATATTGAATGTGAAAAAAAAAAAATTTTTTTTTTTTTTTGAAATATGAATTGGAATGAAAAAGGTTTAATTTTGATACTTATAGGCTTACTATATATGAGCCTAAGTTTAAATGTAAGCCTAAGCCATATATTTCCTTTCTTTTTTCCTTGTTTGTCCAATAATCTTTTACTATGCTTCTTTTTAAATCTATTCTCTCTCCTTTTTGAATCTACTCTTACACATTATCGATTTATTTTTATTGGTAATTTGTTGTGTATCGACAAAAAAAAAAGAAAGAAAAGAAAAGAAAAAGATATTAAAATTGAAAAAAGAGGGGAAAAATAAAAAAGTAAGTAGAGAGAAAGAAAGAAAGAAAGAAGAATAAAAGAATAATCATTTAATGAAAGAAGAATAAAGATAAATTCGAAATAATAAAAATAATTGAAATTTTTTTCACATTTAAAATAACAGCTTTACTCTCTCTCTCTTTTTCTTTTTTCCCTTCTTTGCCTTCTCTTTCTCTCTCTATCAATTTGTTTTGTGGCAAATAAATATCAAAGGTGTAATGATTCGTTGTAATAAACCCCGAAATGTTTATACATAAAAATTATATGTAAATGGAATATTTTTTTTATCTATGACTAAATTAGTTGAATTGAAATTTTAATGCAAATTTATAATAGGTGATATTTTATAAGGAAAGAAGAGCAAAAATTTAATTATTCCATTGAAAATGATTCATTTATTTATTTATTTGTATTATATTATGTGATCATATTCTATGCACATTTAGCTAAAATTATTGTTGTTTTTATCACTTATAATTTTTTCAACAAAAAAAATTAAGATAAAAAGAAAACTAAAAAAGACACTCTTGCTTTGTTTTAATATAGACCGAATAATTCATATTAATCAATTAATTAATTAGTTTTACCTTGCTATAATTTAAATAACATATTGGTTTTTTGTAATAAATTTTTTATAAATATAATAATGAGTAAAGCTTTAATTTTTTTTTCTTTTTAATTTTAAAATAATAAAATGCGATTATTTATTTCTTAGATCAAGTAAAAATTATCCTTCTTCTATGAATATCATTAATTTAATGGAAGAATGCATGCATAAATGTGTAACATTTTTTTGCAATAACTATGCATTAATTTTCCTTTTCATCATTCATTCATTTACACCGAAAATTTAGAAATTCATGCAATTAAAAATGCTTGCAGTGCATGCGGTCATGCATTTCTAACTTACAATTTCGTACTTAGTATAGCTATAATCAAATTGTGTGTGCATGTCTGTGTGTGTTGTTTGTTTGTATATGTTGTGTTATGTTTGCGTATGTATATCGGAGCGCAATTATTTATGTCAGTCAAGAGTGTACGAGTGAAAATATATGCGCCATCATGTGATCAGTATAATCGTTGTGGCGTTATTGTCTAATGACGTTAGCGATTTTATCCGTTCATTTTCAACTTTGATTTAAAATTAATGGAAGATTTTGTTCAAAGATGTTAGATGTGATGTTGTTTGATATCATTCCCCATCCTATGTTCTCTCTTCGTTTCTTCAATTTGTTATCGTCGAAATTTCATCTCATTTATCCGTTGTGTTATTTCATCCTTTAATCTTTAATCTTTTTATGTGTTAATTTTTAACTTAAATTTGAAGTTAATTTAAATTAATAATGTAGATACGAAATGTATTTTTGGATTTCTTATTTAAGAAAATTTTCGTGTTATATTTTATAATAAACGATTCTTTATTTGATCCCTCTTAAATGATATTTATAATTGAAATATTGAAAACTTTTCATCTTCCAAATAGTTCCCAAAATTATTATTCATGAAACGAACAAGCGGAGAGGAATTGGATTATGTTGAATAAATAAAGAGATATTAATTATATGGTTAAAAATTTTAGCTTACAAAATTTTAGCTCAATTTTCCGAACAATTATGGATTATATCTTACTTACGGTTTGGAATATGGTAATCCTGATTGCATCAGTTATTATTTATACCGGATGTCGACGATCCTATTCCATCTATTTTTTTGAGGTTCAAAATTTTAATCCTTATCTTGCATTAAATATGTATAATTTTTAGAATTCTAGTAAGATTTTTAAATCGGATTTGAAAATTTTAATTTCTGATTTTAAAATTTATTTCAGCGTGATGCAAAAAGAATCATATTCCTGGAAGATGCAGGTGCAGTTGCTGTCCCAGTAGTATTGTCAGTTTTATTAATTATCTTACATTATAGTTTAAAACTATCTGGTAAGAATGATATGGAAGAAAGAACGGAGCAAAAACTACCTCAAGTAAGTTTTTCATTGATTCATTTTAAATGTACTGGTTTTCTTTTTTTTTTTTTTTTTTCAATCTTATTTTTATTCAAATTACCACTCAAGTATTGAAGTGATTTCAGTCACAAACATCAAATGTATCACGTCAGTTAACAAGAAAAATGCCTATAAAATTGGATAGTATTTCAGAATCAGTTGTTGCTGGCAGTAAATTTTTTCTCTCTTTTATGAAACATTAAGCATTAAAGTTGTTTTTTTATTGTTGGATTCGATAAATTTTACAAAATTTTAATTTTATTGACAGGAAAGTTGATAAAGAGTGTTTCTTCAGTACTGAAATTTAACTTAACATAGGATGAATTTCGATGTTTTTTATATTGAATTTGTTGTTTACATTGAACTGAGTGTGATAATGATTACAGAAATTTGTTACATGATTCCCATTATTGCATGTAGTAACAGTGACTTTTTTTATTGATGGAAATGAGAAAGAGATGAAGACAAAACTAAGTGAAGATTTGCCGAAAAAGATGGAAAGTGTGGATGGTTCAAATTCAGAAGAATATTTGATTAGTGATGAAATTCTTTCAACCCCTTCACTTAAGAATATTTCGAAGCAGTTAATTCAAGGTTAGTGGTTTTTTTATTTTATTTTTTATTTTTTTATTTTGAATTGTTGCATCTATTAAAAAATCTCCCTTTTTCTTCTTTCTTTTCTCTTAATTTTATTATTTTTCTTTTTATTTTCTGTTTTAAAGAAAGCAAAGAAGTAAGTGAAAATATTGCTGAAACAGAACCTACTGGTAGAATTGATCAGGAAAATCCATCTAATCGGACAACATCATTGCAAAGGAAATCTTCTATCTTAAGCGATCATGAACTGGATGTTGAACGTAAACGATCTCAAATATACAAAAAGATGGGCAAGGTTTGTTTGTGAAATTTATCGGATGAATTATTGAATGAAATTTTAAATGAAAAATTTTCAACGTTCTATCGACATTCTGTTCAGGTCACTTCCTTGCCAGCAATGAATGAGATGGTAACAGTTATGCATTTTTCATCAATTAACATATCAAAGCGATCCGTTTTGAACATATTGGGTCAGCTTATTTCTATCCATATACCAATCTGGTTCGGTGTTATTGCTGTACAAATCACAGTGGTTGAAATATTCGATAATAAATTCTGTGAGTTCTAGCACTGATTTAATATACATTTAAGAGTTTAATTCTCTAATCAATAAGTTTTACATTGAAGCAGAATGCGGTTATCCTTAATTCCATAT